GGCTCGGGCATCTGGTAAGGATGCCTCCTGGACGCCTCCCTGGTGAAGTATTCCGGGCACGTCCCACCGGGAGGAGGCCCTGAGGACCCAGGACACGCTGGAGGGACTATGTCTCTCGGCTGGCCTGGGAATGCCTTGGAGTTCCCCCGGAGGAGCTGGAAGAAGTGGCTGGGGAGAGGGAGGTCTGGGCCTCCCTTCTGAAGATGCTGCCCCCGCGACCCGACCCCGGATAGGCGGAAGAAAATGGATGGATGGAAATACCTATTACTAGATAACTACCTAAACAACAAATACTTAATAGGTGAAAAATATATGTTAATAAACAATTAATACCTGTTTGATTAGTATTTTTAAATAACATAATTGTTATTAAATAAAAAGTAATTGTTAATAAACAAGTTAATAATGACAAATAACTGTTAATAAACAACTACTTGTTAATAGATGACAAATATTTGTTAATAGACAACTAATACGTGTTTATAAATAACATAATTGTTAACAAAAACTCTTCACTTGACCCTTACTTTTAATGTTTATAACTTTTCAAATTAAAAGTCTAAATCAAACAAAAACATTGTGTCACAGTGTTGAGCCAATCAAATCATCTGACTGGATGAATCAGAAATGAAACCCCAGAATTAACCCCTGAAGATAATCAGCCCTCATCATTTAACTCCAGCTGGGAGTAAATCCTGCGTAAAGAAACACAGTTTGGATCAGCTGCTCACTTATTCAGATCTGAGCAGATATCTGGGTGGGATCACTCTGTCTGCAGCCATGGAGAGGATTAAACTGGGTTTTATTCTGCTGCTTCTCTCCAGTGTTTTCAGTCAAGAAGTGGACGATGAGAGGAGGGAGGGGGTCGCAGCGGTAAGAGAAACAGTTGATCTTTTGTGTTTCTGCAGCTGCAAAACAATTAAAAACCTTTCATTTATTTTTGCCTGAAGCCCAAGYGGCCGGACCCCGCTGTGATTCAAGACTTGTTGGTGAAAATCAACAAAAACCCAAAACACTTCTTCAAAGGAAAGCCCGGTTCTGGTAGGTTCTGATTTAAACCAAGCTGAACTGCAGCATCAAACATTAACGAGAACTTTATTTACTCCCAAACAGGGAAAACACAAACAGCACGGAAACGTAAGTATCGTTTCACATGAATTAATTCATTTTAAATTTAAAATTAAATAAGTGACTTTATGTTTTACTTTCAGGGCATAAATTTCAAACCTTTATAGGCTTGATGGGTAAAAGGAACGACGACTATCAAGGTAATTTTTTCTAAATTTACACCTGTTTGAGCTGAAATCTGCCTGGTAACAACAGGTTTTACAGTGGGGAAAATAAGTATTTAGTCAGTCACCAATTGTGCAAGTTCTCCCACTTAAAAAGATGAGAGAGGCCTGTAATTGACATCATAGGTAGATCTCAACT